CGTATCTCAGTGCTGTATGAACATCTTCGAACACCCTAATGCAAGTTTCACTTCATTGAAACTTTCAATGCGATCAAATCATCGTTTTACAAATTTATTTTGAGTTATGAAATTTCTGGTGGTTTATTGTAATTTTTATATGTCAAGAATTAATATGTTAGGATTAATAAATAGAATTAATAAATTAATTTTCTGGTGATTTGTCGTGATTTTCATATGTCAAGAATTAATATTAATTTATGTTTTATTATTTCATTATTTATGTTCCATCATTTATTTTTCAACTTCCTTTTTAATTTAACTAAGCAAGTTTGCATTATATGATGAAAGATTTTGTGTTCCTACAAACTTTTCATACAAACTGTAAATTACAATATAAATTCACAATTTTTCATGTATTTCAATAGTTTGTCATATAATGTTTCTAGTAGAAGTTAAGTAAGATTACTTTTCAATCACTTATAAAATACATTATGTAAAAAAGGCAGAAGTGCTCTTAGACAAAAGATGAAGCTTGACTTTTTTCTTACGTGAAATACTGTGAATCAGATTTTCTGGAATTTGGTTGCAGCTGAGATGAGTTCATTATGGCGTAAAAAAGTGGTGTCAATCTCTACAAGTTTTTCGACAGTTGCGTTAGTCAGAGCTACCTAATTACTGCAATATTGAAATGAAGAATGGACATTGCAATTTTAGGTATATTTCGTACCTGTCAATTTTCAATTATACAAAGTACAATTAGTATCAAACTTAAAACTCTTCGTGCACAACTTAAGTCACATATGAACTCTAACGTACGTCACATATAAACTGTAACGTATGTCACATATGTACTCTAACGTATGTCACATATGAACTCTAACGTATGTCACATATGAACTCTAACATACGTCACATATGAACTCTAACATACGTCACATATGAACTCTAACATACGTCACATATGAACTCTAACATACGTCACATATGAACTCTAACATACGTCACATATGAACTCTAACATACGTCACATATGAACTCTAACATACGTCACATATGAACTCTAACATACGTCACATATGAACTCTAACATACGTCACATATGAACTCTAACATACGTCACATATGAACTCTAACATACGTCACATATGAACTCTAACATACGTCACATATGAACTCTAACATACGTCACATATGAACTCTAACATACGTCACATATGAACTCTAACATACGTCACATATGAACTCTAACATACGTCACATATGAACTCTAACATACGTCACATATGAACTCTAACATACGTCACATATGAACTCTAACATACGTCACATATGAACTCTAACATACGTCACATATG